AGGAATGTTTTTCAGGATAAAATAAAAAAATACTATCACTCCCCATAAGTTAACAGCACTCAGGAGCTTTGCCAAAGTTGTAACTCTCATAGGGCTCACTGCAGTGTGATGCAGAGCTCGGAGGACCTCATCCTTTGTCTTCACAAGCTGCATCTACCCACCAGAAAAAGGGGGGGAGGGTTAATCTGAAGTTAAATTTGGCTCTTAAATACCCTCTCATGGAGCCAGCCTTTCATGTGTAAAGAAAGTCTTAAATCCTAAAAGGTTAGAATGGAAAACATCAATACGTTACACATTCACACAACAAAAAAATTGACTGGATGAGTTTATCTAATAGTGTTATACCAATGGTAATGTCTTCGTTGACATATATGTACTATGTATGTATGTATGTATGTATGTCTCTAGGACGTTAATGTTAGGGGAAGCTGGGTAAAGGGTATATGGGAATTCTGTCTTATCTTTGCAACTCTTCTATAAATCTAAAATTATTTCACAATAAAAGGCTTTAAAAATGTACCACATAGGCTGGGTGAAAGATTCCCTACAGCATCGTCTGTAAGACTGATTGATGGTTTAGGATAGAACACATTGAGGTGAGAATCTGGAGTCATTTTCAACAATGAAGTACCATTGGTAGCAACAGCACACAGAGTCTCTCTACTCCAAAACCACAAGAATGACATATCTTGCAAACCAAGATTTGAATGAGAGCTAAACAAAAAAGAGAGTATGGTTATGCCACCTCACATCTGGGCCATGAATACACAGTTAATACATATAAAACAATCATGGTAATTAGTGTGTACGTGTGTGGGGTGGGGGAAGGGGGGAAGGGAGAGATAAAGAAAGAAAAAGGAAGAATATATGAATGAGATGAAGCTAAAGTAGACAGGAAAGAATCATTATATCACACATCTGGGATCAGGGGAAGAATATGGACATTTGCATAAGTAACTTGATAACACAGATGGAGTGAGATACTGGGGTGCTGGTCCTTCAACACGGGGAACTTTTTTCAACTTTTCCTAACTTTTCCAAACAAGGTTTCAGAACCACCTACCTAAGAGTTATTGAGCATAAGCAAAGCACTTCAGAAGGGGTTTAAAAGGCACTAAAAGGATGGAATATTTACGGCCTACAGAACACTGCAACAAAATTTTGAAGATTATCAAATCCAGAGTCAAGAACACTTTCAAGGATTTCAAGGTCTCTTATTCAAGGACAATGACCATTTCATCTTCATCTGTAACACTAGAAGAAAAGAGTTTTGTCCAGTTTATAGAACCTCTTTTCAGATATGAGGAAGAAGTTCTTGAGGTAATGGGTGAGGAAATATCTCACTAGGTCCCCAAAGAGGTTTATCCCGCTGTCTCTGGATGTCATTGCAAGGTGTGGAGACTGCTTTCCTGTACCTTAAAGCACAGAGGAGGAATAAATGGTCAATTTAAGGTCTTATCCATTTTGTGGAATCAAAGCATATATAGCATGTAGCTACTTTAACATTTCTCTGAAGAGTACTTGCTAGAGAGGAATCAGGCATTGTTATTCTAGGAACAGAAAGTACCAGTCACGTCACAAAACTCTGCCATAAAAAAAATCCCTTGGCTGATCTATTTTCCCAACCTTTTTTCCTAGTTCAGAGACTTTCTGAAGACCTATGACCATAAACCTGAAATTTAGGAGACATGCTGATCGGGCACTAAGCTCCAATTTCTTCTCCAATATGACAACTGGGGTAAATTCCTGAGAAAGTAAATCATAGCCCCAAACCAGAATCTGAAAAAAATAAATAAATGCCATTATCGCCCCAGCACCTTATGGGTGTATGTGTGGGGCAGGGGGGCGGGGAGGGGGGTGTTAATATCCATTGACATCCTATTTACAGTACCCTTACGTGGTGGAAGATTCGAGATAAAACTACAGTATTCAAAATTTATATTTTATAATTCTTGTGAGAAGAAAATGTAATAGTCCAATACATCACATTTGTACATTACTGTGTTTAATACTACTGTGATAATCTCCCCCACCTCACCCCAAACAGCTTGGTAAAACCACATTCCACTTTATCCCAGTTTGTCTTCCATTTATATTTTAGTAGAATAATTTGGTTAGACACCCAAAGGCCTTCCCACTAATGAAATCAGGATTTGCTAAGAAAAATCAGTTTATAACTTGTCTTAGTACCCATCAAAGACAAAAAGAGTTATTAAAGTCTGAAACACAGCAACCATCCTCAACTCTTAAGAGGAACCAGAAGGAGCATACCAGAGACAAGCAAAGGGTTAACACAGCTCATTTCTGGGTTAAGGGAAGGATGCAACATCATTTTTTAAGGCAAACACCTGGAGGGAAAAAAGTAGTATTTTGTTTCCACCTCAAGAAATTACAGACAAACATAAAGCAAATCACATCAGTGGAATACTCAATTATCTGAACATGCTAATTAACGAACTGTAATCAACCGGCTTTCAAGTCCTCTCTTCACCTGCTGTAATATTTGTAGCGCATTGCCTTCCTTATTCCTCACAACCAGTAGAACATTAGACAGTCTGCATGGTGCATCCAAGGGAAACAAATAAGCACAGATTTTTGCTGATGGCAGGAATTTCTCATGCTCAGGGCAAATGAACCAGCAATATGGAAATGGCAGTACTGGCTGTATATTTTAATTATTCCCCACACCTATTTTGCAAAAGAGACTTAAAATACAATTAGGTAATATGATGCTCAGTTACGGTTATTTCGTAAAACTGAGCACAGACAGTCACTTAAAGTAGTAAATATGCAGTCATGACAGAATTAAATATTCATGAAATCAAGAGCGACTAGAAAGCTGAGGATATTCGAATATTAAAATTCATCAGAGTTTTTACAATGTAAATCTTGTACGTATTTGTAAGGCACCGAGTCCAGTCTAGAGTGTGTTCAAATTCCGGTGTCTTGGTAGACTGCCATTTAAATTACAATATTGATTTTGGTAGATAAACAACAAACTTAATCCTTAGCTCAGTTTCAAAATGCAAAACAATTTTGAATATTTGGAAATATCAACTTGTTAAAGTGAGCCTATCTCCAAACACAGAACAGCAACACTCAATGTGATCCTTGATGCTTTGGATATTTGTTTAATCCACTAGCACCTTTGGAAAGGTCCAACAGTAACCAAGGCAATCTTCTAGGAGCACTTCATGACATGCAATTCTTTTCTAGCCGGGAGAAGTGACTATTTTCTTGTGCACTTTCTTAATTGAGCAAAGGGAGAAAGCATATTGACTGACCTTTAATATTCTGATTTGTTGAACCAACTTTTCCCCAACATTAGCAGCCAGTTTCAAAATGTATTAACAAATACATGTGTACACTTTATACAGGTACAACTAAACAACACTAGCTTCCACAAAACAGAACTCTCAGTGTACGTGGAGGAAGAAGACTGTACTCAGAAACAAAGCTGTAATAAATTCATTCTAATAATATTACCAAGGCATTATTTTCTATGTCATTTCTTCTATTTTACAATTTTCTCAACAGGAAAAATTAAAATAAAATAAAATAAACGCTCAGCACCAGAGAAGGGCATTTGAGCCATTTCTTACTGGAATCCAATTACTTGAAGAACTCCTCTCTCCACAGTAAGTAGTAGCTGCCCCCTGGTCTACGATGACACAGCAGGGCTGCAAAGATTTACAGGGCTCATCTGCTGCCAGGCACTTGGTCTCTGCCCTCCTAGGTAGGAGGGTGCCAGGTGAGGAGGAGGACCTGGACCTGAGAGCTGGGTTAAGTAAGCAGTGATTTCCATTCTACCGAGGAGTCAAACTTTGCTCCCATTTTTGTCATCTTCAGGTTGATGTCTCCTCCCTCCACGGAGTCTCAGAAGCCACTTGGCAGCTCCTGAAGACATTTGTTTCCCCCTGACCTAGATCATCCAAATAAGCCTTGGTTTATACTGTGCGGGCAAGCAAAGGTCTCTCAACACTGCTCTCCTGAGGTGTGGGCTCTGCCCTGGCTTCTCATTGCATGTACCACAAGACTTTTCTCTGCACACACAGCTGAATACGGAAACCAGGACAGACTTCTGCACACGCCTTCCAGTTCAGAAAGTCACTATCGCCATCGATTCCCTTAAATCTCACGCCTTCCCCACATCTGCAACCCCCACCACCGCACAAACGAGGAAAGAGGGTGCGGGAAGCGGAGGGGTTAAAGTGACAGCCACTACTAGAGCTCCTCGGTTTTGTTCAAAAGGTGTCACAGCGCCAACACACTGTGGACCTACCTTGCTCTCTCCTTTCTCGCTGTTGGGTCTCGCCTCGGGATCGTCGCTGTCCTCAGCTCCTGCACTCTCGCCGGGCAGTTCATCCTGAGCCAGCTGCTGCTGCTGCTGCTGCTGCTGTTGCTGCTGCTGCTGCGGCTGCGGCTGGGGCTGGGGCTGGGGCGGCTGTGGCGGCGCCTGGCAGGCTCCGCCAGCCCCCTGGGAGCGGGGGATGGGCTCCGGGCGCGGAGAAACTCCCTCAACATCCATCTCCATCTTCCCATTCACTGGAGGGCAAGACAAAAGCGGAGCGGAGACTTGGCAGCGGCGCCCGGCGGCTCCTCAGCTGCCCATGGCACGCATGGCTCGCCGAGGGGGGGGCCGCCTCCCGCGCGCCC